AAAAAAAAAAAAAAAAAAAAAAAAAAAGAAATTAGAACTTTATTTTATTTGTGTCAAGTATGCCTTTCTTTGAAAGTTCAGAAGGTACCCCTTAGTCAATTTTAGTAATTTAATCAATATTTAGTAAACTTCATCATTTTATATACTTTAATTACTTCCTTCTAAATTTCCATTCTTTCAGTATTGAAAATTCCCAGTCTTTCCCAGTCTTTTGAAACTACCATGCTACAGCTTCTCTAGTGTCCTCCTTGAGTTTGCTTTTTCTTTCTGTCTTTCTTTTTCCCAGCACCATAGATTGAACCCAGAGGTGCTTAACCACAGAGTCACATAGCCAGCCCTTTTTAATTTTTGAGACAGGGCCTTGCTAAATTGTTGAGACTGGCAGCCTCAGTCTCCCAGATCTTTCAGATTACAAGCATGCACCACTGTGCCCAGCTTCCATGACTTTCTTGATTGTCTCCATATTTGTAGACAATTATGTTTTCCTTAAGGTTCAGATGGTTGAGTGGTTAGATGCACAATGGTGCAGTAATAAGGTTAGATTTTGGGGTGGTTTTATTTTTCGTGTATGTGTGTAATTTTACAATATTGATTAGCTTTGGGATCCTTTAAGAAAACACTGAGCTAGTCCACAGTCACTCCAAGACCTCTTTATAGTATTATAAATTATATTTCAAAGGCCAGTTATGCTATGGGTATCATTTCCCCAAGGTCTATCTCCTTCAACTTTTATACATTGAGGTTCATTTTTTAATTGGCTGACCCAACTTTTGAGATTTTTCCTTTTTCCTTTTTTTCTTCTTTTATTCTGATCAGATTGATACATTTTTATAAAGAATTTTATGGGATGGGGGTTACTGAAGATTGAACTGGGCACTTAACCACAGAACTACATCTCCCCCAGCCCGCTTTATTTTTTTGAGACAAGATCTTACTGTTACTTAGGGCCTCCCTAAGTTGCTTAGGCTGATCTTGAATTTGCAGTTTTCCTGCCTCAACCTCCAGAATTGCTGGGATTACAGGCATGTACCACCATACCTGGTTTACACAGAAATTTCAAAGTAATTTATAAACCAAATTTTCCACTGTGTTTTATGTCCACATTGTACAATATTGGATGACACTCAGACGCAGCTCACTTTTTGTTTTCTATTTCTAATATATATATATTTTTTTATCTAGGGAAAAGCAATTTTCATAGCTTCTCCTGCAGATGTCTTTCAATGACTTTTGGAAAAACAAGTTTTTATCTGCAATTCTCCCTTTCCCAGACTTGTTTATTTATTTTTTTTTTAAATATTTTTAGTTGTAGATGGACACAATACCTTCATTGTATTTATTTTTACATGGTGCTGAGGATCGAACCCAGTGCCTTCCACATGCAAGGCGAGCACACTACCACTGAGCTACAGCTCCAGCCCCTCAGATTTTTAAAGATTCCCTCCTCTTTTACTTTCCCGAGATGCTAATTATTAAAGTAATTCATTGTATTGGCTAGAACATAGGAAATGTAGAAAATTCTATCAAGAGGGCTCTGTTTGTGGCTCAGTGGTGGAGTGCTTGCTGGAATGTGTGGGGTACAGGGTTTGATTCTCAGCACTGCTTAAAAATAAATTAAATAAAGACCCATTGACAATTAACAAAATTAAATAAAAAATAAGAAATTTGTAAAGAGAGCAAGGTATCATGGCACATGCCAATAATCCCAGCTCCTTGGGAGGCTGAGACAGGAGGATCACAAGTTTGAGGGCAGCCTGAGCAAGTTCTGAGACCTTGTCTCCAAATAAAAAAAAGAAAAGTGCTGGGTATATAGATAAAAGGTAGAGCAACCCTGGAATGAATTTCCAGTAGTGCAGATGGACAAAAGAAAGGGACAAGAAAATTGTTGTTGATAATGTCCTGAGAATGGGAAGCGTGCACTTAAAAAGAATTTACTCGATACCAGTGCGAAGGAAGAATACAAATGATAGCTTTTAAATACAGTCACTGTCTCTGCCGAGCTCTGAAAACTCAAGTTCAAGCTGCATTAGTTTCCCATGTCAAACTGAACAAGTCCCTAGTTGCAATGCCATTGCAAATCATTTGCAACCACCAGCAGGGATTCTTTCAAATTTTTGTATATTTGAATAACTGTATAATTAACAACAGCAACAATAAAATTTTTTATTTCTTTAAAAAAATATGAGTAAAAATTTTTAAAACGATGCATTAAGTGTTATAGGTAAATACAAGACCTCTCTAC